ATGTCCAGTTGTCTAGAGATGGGCATTGGGTCCCCATCACGCGCCACCCTCATTGATGAGGATATGATTTTTCTCCCTGCCTTTGGTGTTTGAAGCCTGGTCCCTTTGGCCCTTCATGGTCACACATGTTGGTGTGCTGCTTCCGTGTGGGCTTTGTTGCTTCTGGGGCTTTTTTTGGTCTTTGATGCCTGATACCTGATTCCTTCGACACCTCAGTGATCTCATAGGCCGGAGCGCTTCTTCCATGTGGGCTTTGTTGTTTCTCAGCTAGATGGTCACCTGTTTACCTTCAAGCCTTTAAGATCCCAGACACTATATCTTTTGATAGCCGGGCACCATCAGCTTTCTTCACCACATTTGCTTATGCACCTGTTGTCTTCAGAGATCGGGTCAGGAAGGTGAGCATCTCAGACTGCTGAATTGTTAGAACAAAGTGTTCTTGTGTTGAGGGAGTACTCGAGTAGGAGCCCACTGTCTATTTGTTTCCTTAATACTAAACCTATAAATATATGTACATAGATCTATTCCCCCCTCATCGTATATAAATATATTTACATCTGTATATGCCTATATTTAGATCTCTATAAATGCCCTTTGCCTCCTAGTTCTTTCCTCGATTTCTTCTTACTTTCCTCTTGTCCCACTATCATGTTCAGCCTTCATTTGGGTTTCAGGAATTCCTGTCGGTTACATTGTCCTTGATCCATCCCTGCCAGACTTCCTACACCTTCCTCTTCACTGATTTTGGATCACCTGTTGTTCCCTTGTGTGGGGGGAGGTCAGATGCACAGGCATCCCCCCCGCCCCCCCCTGAGGGCAATCAGTTGTCAAACTGCAGTGGGCCCTGCTCCCTGCCTCTGGGGACAATGGACAGGCTCCTGTAGGCCGAGTTTACACCCTACTGATAATGGTTCCTATGGAGATCCAGGGAACAGGTCAAAGTGAAGCTGCCATCCTAAATCTAGGATCCACCCGTCTTGTCACATGTATACCCCAATCCCTCCTCTTCCTATTGCGTGTATGTCTCTAGACCACCCCCTCATTACTGTGTAACCCCTTCCTGTGACGGATGTCTTTACCTGTAATTAGTGGGCATGCATGCCCCCAAAAGGTATATAGGCCTGGGTCAGCAATATAGACCTCTCTCTGTGGCTCCCCTCTCTTCCCCCTCTCCTCTCCCATCCTCTCTCCCTTGTTCCCTTGCCCCCCTTCCCTTCCCCCTCTCTCCACATGGATCACCAAGCTGGGCTGAGGTAAGCAATGCTACTATGTAATGTGTCTAACTGCATTATTATAATATCTCTCATGCTCTCCATGACTTTAATATAATACTTATATATCTCAACCGTACAATTGTGCATTACTGAACCCATGGGTAGTAGTAGCGGTGGGGGCTGGCCCCCTCCCCATTTAATTTAATACTACACCCTTGTCCCTGGGTTTGTTAACACCCACTTCCTTCCCCTCTCCCCCCGCCTCCCCTCTCCCACATCCCCCCAGAACTGTAATCCCATTGTTCTTTCTTCTGGCTTGTTTATTCCACCTATCCCTTCCAGGTAGACATGCAGCAACAACAATATGCACCAACACAAGACTGAGAACAACGAAGCAACAATATAAAATAAAAAAATAGTACAACAACAACAAAAAGGCAACAACAACAACCACCCCCCCTATAAATAGTTCAAGGTCTATTTGTTGTCCTTTACGAGTGTTTTCCAGTTGAGTCTGATGGGGTGCTATGCCCTGGCCCCAAATCTATCCCTAGCATTCCCTGGGGAGGCATGCTGTCTTTAGCTCACCTTTCCCCTCCTTCTGTGAAAGGAATCGCTGCTCATGCATTTCTTTTTAATTTAATTTAATTTTTTGTATTTATTACTTTAACACTGTGCTCACAGTCAGACTTCTCTTTCTTACAGTCACACTTCTAAATAAAAGGCCAACCAGTGTGAGGTACCTAGCATACTGCATCTTGGCGAAAGCATGAAATGATCACATTTGTCGCCTATGCTGCCCTGCTGCACAGACTTGCCTGTCAGACCCACTCTGGGCAGCCCCTGCCTCTGGGGAAGGAGGCCTGTTCTGCCAGTGGAGTCAGGCCTCACCAAAGAGGGGTGGGCCTGCTGTACCTAAATCATGATATCATCCTTCCGAAAGACAGACTGCTTCTCTCCATGAACATTCAGGATTTGGTGGGCAAACAGGAAGCCCCCAGGCTCCTCACAGTGGCCTCAGAAGCCAGCTGCAGCAGGGCACTGGAGGACTGAGGCATTGTGGGGGCCCCTAGAGCTCACTGGAGGCCCTTGTCACTGTTCACATTGTCCTTCCACTCAGCTCTCCAGGAGTGGAAGGTGGACAAATCTGCGCTGGTGAAAAACAGATGGGAAAACAAGACCCACTGTGAAGTCACTGCTCGAGGAGATGCTGAGACTGAGCGCACAGAACAAAGGGCAAATGGTGTCCTTATGATAGGTGGTGTGTCCTCAGAAGGGAAACTCACTTAAAAGAGCAACACAGAGCAGGCCAGAGTTTTACATTCAACAGTTCACACACACTCCGATTCAGTGCATTCACTGCAGTCCCATGGATGCACCACTGCCAACCAACCCACTGGCTCCCTGTGGAAGCCTTCTGCTTCCACTCCTTTCTCAACCCTTGGAACTCTGTCTTTGGGCACATGCTGCCCTTTTGGTCTTTGTGGTTGATTATTCTAGCATAGAGGCGAGTCCAGTTCCAGACCTGAGGGGTGAGGGCCAGTCTCCATCTGACCAGAAATCCTGGTCTCTTCCATGATTTTGAGTTCTGTTCCACTGTCTCTCCTCCTCTCTCCAGGACCCTCTAATGTGACCCTTTTCAGAGCAGTTGGTGGTGGTGGCTGGGCACCATCTAGTTCTTTTGGTCTCAGGGGTGTGGAGACTGATGCCCCTGTGGTCCATCAGTGGATGAATTGTTTCCACGTGTCTCATTTTGCACAGGACAGGGAGAGAGTGATGGTTGCACATTAGATACATAGCTGCCCCTCAGGATATTCTAAGACGTGGGTCACTATTCACCAAGGCAGTTTGTAGAACATTGTCTACATTGTGGACTACTTCAGGGGACTTGACCTTGCTGTCCCCTGAGATGGTTGTCCTGGAGCCCCAGGTCACCATTCATTCCCTCGAGGTGTTTGCTTATGTCTAAGCAAGTTTCATAGGGAAATCCACTTTGGGTGTCATACAATGGCTAGCTTTTGTTTACTGTCCTCTTTTTGCGCTCTCAGGCAGTGCCTGTGTGCAAGCCCCATGGATTTCTCCTCTGGTTTCTCTTGGCAGTGGGGCCAGGGGTCAAGCCGACTGCTGAGTTCAAAACGCTGGTGCTAATCTGGAAAGTTCACTCCTCCCTTCTCCCGCCGCCAAGGGTTTAGGGAAACCCAACCACTTTTACCCACCCCCTGGACAGCCAGTAGGAAGGCTCCTCCTAGGTGGGCAGGGCAGGGGCAGCCCAGCGGAGCAGAATTTCCAACTGAAATCTGAATCTGATGTGGACAATGATCGGGACCTTGTTAATGAGGGGCCATTTGTCCACCCACTCCTTCCTTTATTCGTCACATCTTTTACTGCGCCGGCTGGCTCAAGGCGCGGGAGCACAAGCGGTCAGGGGGGCTTCCCTCCGTTCGAGGCCCCTCCGTTCACGGTGCTTCTGCTATAATAGGTGAAGCAGCAACCCCACTGGCCTCAGACCCGACTCGGATCCCGGAATCCCTCATTCGAGTTTGGCAGCAAGGCACGTTGAGCGGCGTCGGGGCAACCAGGCGAGGCTGCGTCCAGGCCCGTGCGACCGGCCTCAAGCGCCATTCAGCTCCTTCCAGGACGTGTTGCTAGGAACGCGCTCCTGTTGTTGCCACGCCCGGTCTTGTGGGCGGAGTCTCGCGAAGATCCCAGCGACTTCGCGCCGGAGCGACGGGGCGTTGCCGGGAGACCGCGCAGCCGCAGTGTGCAGGCGCGCTGGTTTAGAGGCAGAGGCGGCGGCGGCGGCGGCGCTTTTCCTGCAGAGCCATGGTGAGGAAGGCGGGACGGGGTCTCTGCGCGCGCTGGAAGTCCCAGACCAGGCTCTGACCCTTAAGCTGAGCGTCCTGGGACCCCCAGACCGGAATCTGAGGTCTGGGCCTGGCTTCGACTCCTGGCTCTGACCTCCCCGGCCTCGAGCCAACGGGCTGTCAGATGCTGTGCTTACAGGGCCCTTCTGAGAAGCTGAGACCGAGGGTGCGGTCTTAGAGAGTGTAGGGGGAGGTCAGATCCTTGCGATCAGTTGCCAGACTGCACTGCCCGCCGGAATTCCTGCTTGGAAGGGCAGACTTGGGGCCTAGGGCCTCACCTCACAGCTCCCGCCCAGAGCACACAAGGCCCCTGGGAAGACAGGCTGGGCAGCAGGCTCTGGGGGCATAGCCGCGCCCACCACGGGTAGAGGCAGGGCTAAGACGTCTAGGGTTGGGTGAGGGAGAGCTGAGAAAGGGGAGGGGATTTGGGGTTGGGTGGTTGTTGAGCAGACTGTGAAGATAGCTCCCCGCCCCCCGCCAGAAAAAAAGAAAGTAATTACGCTGATTGTCATTTGCTTGTAGGAATGGGCGAGATTTTTTTTCTTTTGCTTCACTTTGTTTTCTAATATTTTCACCTGAGAAATTTTGCAAGCATGGGAAAGCTACACACATGGAGACCCAGGGAAGTGTGGACTCAGGCTGAGCTTTCAGGATGGTGGGTCCTGGGGGTGGGCGGGAAGATGCTCAGGGGAGCAGGGCCTCTGGGGACCACCAACACTGAAAGTCAGATGTTCTCTCTTTAAAAAAAATTTTAATAAATCATTTTATTGGGGGCTCTTACATAATATAACAATCCATACATCCATTATGCCAAGAGGACATGTACAAATGTTGCCATTAACAATTTCAAAACATTATCTTTCTTCTTGAGCCCCTTGTTATTAGCTTCTCTTTATTCCCTCCCTCCCCACCCTGCCACCCTTTCGAACCCATAATATATTATGTATTGTTACTCATACATATCTTACACTGCCCATTTTATCCCTACACCTACTATCCTAGTGTTCATCCCCCTCAAGGGGGGTTATTTCACCATCATTGCTATCTGTTCCCCCTTTCACAACTTAACCGTCCCCCCTCCCCCAATTGGATGTTCTCTTGACCTGGGTTCCTTGAAGGCAATTTTCATTTGGAAGTTCAAACCAAACTCACTGCCCTCGAGTCGATTCAGACGCACAGTGACCTATAGGACAGGGTAGACCTGGCCCTGTGGGATTTGGAACTGCCACTCTTCACTGGAGGAGAAAGCCTTTCTCCCACAGAGTGGCTGGTTGTTTCAAACTGCCGACCTTGCAGTCTGCAGCATAACATGACCATTAGACTCCTATTTAGAAGATTCCACAAAAACTCACTGCCAGTGAGTGGATGCCAACTCCTAATGACCCTGTAGGACAGGGCAGAACTACCCTTGCTTCTGAGACAGAAAGCCTCAAATTGATGCTATTCTGTTGTCCTTGCAACAGAGCCCTGACTTTTGCACCCCAAGGGTGGGTTTCTGCAAGGTTCCACATTGGTCACGTAGCTTGTCACCAGTGGGGTTGAGTTTGGCAGTGTGGTTTTGGGAATTTTCCATCTTAAGTGCAAGTCAGTTTTGCATTCAGAGGTCAGTTTTGCCTAAAGATTAAGAGGAGTTCATATTGTACCATGAAGGGGTGGGTTTGGTGGCCCCTCCTCTCCTTTCAGTGGGGAAAGATCTGTCTGAAAAGGGACCCTTTCCTCTGGCTTCTCCAGAGGGGCGGGCAGGTGCAAGCCCCGGAGAGTGGCTCCCGGACCCTCCTGTTGTGATGGAGGTTCCAATGAGGTGCTTCTCTCTCCCTTAGAGCTGGCCAAGAGGCAGGGCCCTGAGATGTTCACTTATCCCTTTGTCCTGCATTTAATCACAGGCGCCCAAAAAGAAAGGGAAGAAAGGCAAAGCCAAAGGCACCCCAGTTGTCGATGGGCTTGCCCCCGAGGACATGAACAAGGAGCAGGTGAGTGGGCCCCTGGCCTCCCCTCCCTCTTGTCCTCCCTATGAGTCCTGGGAGGGGCCGGCATTAGGACAGGCTGGAGAGGAGGCCTTGGGCTGGTGTTAATGGTGACTTCCTCTCTCTCAGGAAGTGAGAGGTGGGCAGACCCCTCCATCATGCCATCTTTACATCTTTACCATCCTGTGTGAGTTCCCTCTCCAGACTTTAGACAGGGCAGGGCAGCCCCCGAGGCAGGGACCCATCTCAAGGCCCACACACCCACTGGGTTTCGACAGGTGTGTGGGGGTGGCCAGGATTGGGGCCCCCCTCAGGGCAGCTGCAGTTTGCTCCCTGGACGGCTCTCCTGTGGTATGTCCTGTAGGGCCATCGAGCCTCTCTGTTTTGTTTTTTTTAATCGTTTTATTAGGGGCTCATACAACTCTTATCACAATCCATACATACATCAATTGTGTAAAGCACATTTGTAC